CACATTTATTATACCATCATTGGAGTACTTCCTGTTGCAATTTAGAGTGATTTTTAGACCTCTCTCAGTCTTAAATTAAGAATGCAATCAAGATTCCAACCAGCTCACGTGAGAGCTATTTCCAGAAGGCTTGATAAAAAAGGTTTTTTGGATAAAAATTTAGATCTGGTGGGTGTAAATCAATTTCTGGGAGGGTTGTAGATTGTGACAGGAAGTCATCCATTGATGGCCATCCAGTACTTCAGAAAGTTGGCTTGGGGAAGTTGCAGAGTTGATTTTGATCTGTTTGGTGCTGGACTGAAATCAATTTGGAGGTCTTGAGATGAGTGAAATGATTTTGAAATGGAATGGTCAAGAGACTGCAATGTTGATTATCAGCTCAAGCAGGGAGTCACTGCACCCAAATTTCACAGGGGTGACACTTGCAAAATCTGGACCCAAATGTGGGGGGGTTGGATTTTTCTGTCAACCCACTGTACATACAGTACAATTCTGGGCCCAAGTGTAGTCACAATTATACTGAGATCATCTAGATATCATATTCTACAGTAACTGATGTATAGCTAATTTTGATGGAACATAGCTCAATGTATGTACCAAGATGAGACATGAAGATTGATGAATCATAGCTTATGTTCAAAAGGTTACCAAGTGAAAGAGTTGTGCTTGCCGTCATGTATCTATACTTATTAAAAATGATGTCAGCACAATATGAAACGGTATGAAAGCTAGGAAACAGGAATGTCTGACTATGTGATATCATAAAATGGCCTTGTAATTTCTGTAATCTGGTTTGGTACACAGTACCAGGTTTCTGAAACTTTCACTCACTTTGATGTTTGCTGTCTGGATGACCCAATCAAACCCTTTCCAAAAGGAGTTGACTAAGTTGAAATCTGTTGAATGGACAGGATACAGATGATACATTTGGGAAATCTGTCTGGGTGGAGTTCAAAAAAATCCTTCTTACATTTACATGGCTGAAACTACAACAAAAAAAATCTGTAATTGATTTGGTGATCTGGACAAAGGTTCTTTGAGGACTGTCTGGAGATTATTTATACCAGCTGTCAATATCAGTGATCCAAGATAATTCTCTTCATACCAATTTGTTTAATCTACTTCTCAAGTAAGTTTTTCAATTCTCTTTTCTGATTGGTTTGATGATGGCCTGATATTCAACTAACCACTTTGCACACATGCATATCTGACAGGCTTCTCTACAAATTTCCAGTGGTGTGCTCTAACAAGAAGTTCTACTTATTCTTCCATTGCACAGGTATGTTTCAAATTTCTCATTTAAAACATCCATACCCATGTGCAGTGCCTTGATTATAAATCTCAAATTATTTGATTTATCAAATCCAGACAAGGAGTCCAGACCATCTCCCTAATCTTTTAAACTCATCACTCCTCCAAGGAATTGCCAGGTGGGAGCAAAATTCAATATGATTGGTTGGATTGGATAAGCTTGAAGATCTGATCAGTTGATGTGCCTCTTTTTCTTTTCTAGCCTACTTCAAAGACACCACCAAGATGCAGAAAACACAAGCCTTTCTTTGGATCCTACTAATCAGTATTCTACTGGAGGCCAACACCATCCTTGCAGCCAATCATCTAATGAGACAATGGCGTTTAAGGGGAGATGCCTCAGGCAGAGTCACCAGCCTCCCAATAATACCCAACCAAGATGACCACATCATCTTCTCTTCGGATCTAGAAACTAAAGAATGGAAAGTAGAAAACTCTAGTTCTGAGCACTCTCTGCTCTGTAAGATCCGAAAATCAGGCACAATCAATTGGAGAGTCGTCCAGATAATCCCACCCAATTCAGAAATCAGAACTGGTATTGGTATGAAGAAAGCCATCTGTGTTGAGTTTTCAATATATCATCCTCGTCCACAAAGGAATAATGCCTTAAATTCGCAGGAAAGACTTTCTGGAGATCTCGTTTCACTTCGCCGGAATAAAAAAAATTTGTCTGATCATGATGTCTCGACTCAACTGGCCTCAAACAATCAGTCTTTACGGAAGATGGTGTTATCATTTTTTATGATGTTACTTGTGATCACTCCCCATGCATTAAGATAATCATACATCCTTATTTGTGTTTATTTTCTTTCCTTTTTCCTTTCAATTTTTTAATCACAATATAAAATCTATTGGAAAAAAAGTGAGGGTGATCACAGATAATCAAATCCAAAAGCTGTTAGACATTCCAAAAACTTTATATCCTCATGTGGGGAATGTGCAGTTCTCTTATTAATTTGAGTAAAATGTGTGCAGCAGAGGTGTTCATAGTTTTTTGAGTGGACCACCAAATTAGAAAAAGGGGCTTTAGCTGAGCGGGAGCCCCATGTTCCATCCTACTACTATAAACTAACTGCTACAAATTTATGCTGATCACCGAAAACCAGTAAACAACCAAGAACTACTGAAGATGGGTAAGTTGATCATCTTCTCATCCAACCTCACTCTATCCATCATCAAAACATCCATACTGACTCTCATTCTATCGAACTTGCATGTCCGTAACTATCCCGCCGCGTCGCGTCGTTGAATGGTTCATGGTGATGATTTAATATCAAGTCGAATGGTGCGTCGAATATCTCATTCGTCTTTGGAAGAATGCAATGGGTTGACCATCAGTTGAAAATACGCTGTAATCTTGATCACCTGATCGGCGTGCTTGATGCAGTCCGATCTGCGCCAAACCGATAGCTTCAGGAGATATCAATCGGCATTTGGATCATGACCATTTCGAGCTACGATCTAGCAACCACTCGGAACCCAAACCTCAGCCGACGGTCACCGGCGCTCAATCTACTCTAAACTTCCAACGAACAGTGGCCGGTACTCAGAGAACTGACGCGCAAAATAAAACGACTGGAGGAGCACCAAAAGCCCATAAACGTCCACATGCAACAAACAATCTGACCTCTCTGCATAATGAGCATCTCTCTCAAAGTCAATCTTCTTCTTCTCCGTCTTCTTCTGCCCCGACTTCATCGGTATTATCACTATCCGATCATCGGAAAAAATCTCGCCTCAATCCTCCGTCTGATTCTTTCGTCAAATCTTCTCTTCCTACTCCTTCTGATTCGGATCCCTCAAATTCAAATAAACCATTAGCTGAACGAGTCAGACCGAAAACAATCAATGAATTTCAAGGTGAATTTACAAGAATACTTCCAAGAAAAATTGTGGTCTGAAAAATGAATATTTCTTGCTTTTTTTGCTTGGTATGTTTATGTAAAAACAGGACAAGGACATTTAAAATCAGCATTACAAATGATAATGACCAGTAAAAATTCGATCATCTTGTGGGGACCATCCGGCTCAGGAAAAACGACCCTAGCGAGATGCTTGAAGGACGAATTGAATAGACGAGAAGAGGAAGCAGAAAGTAGCAGTCAAAAGAATAAGAAGAAGAAGTACGAGTTCTTTGAACTCTCGGCTACCGACTTCTCGACCTCTGAATGGAAGAAAATCATAGACCAGAATCATCTCTATTCTGCTTCTTCTAACACTTCTAACACTTCTGGAAACGGATCCAATCAGAAAATCTCTAGCTTTTATAAGAGTTTAAATTCTGCTGTCACTTCGATTCCTATTATCTTTATTGATGAAGTTCAACGATTGAATAAATCTCAACAAGATCGTTAAGTTTCTCAGCCTTATTTCACTGTTTTGTTTTGTTTGTTTGTCAATGAAATCTGACTTGATCATCTTCTTTCTCAACCCCACGCGCAACAACAACAATAAAAACAAGAGTAGTGTTTTTACCATATATAGAAAACGGAAGAATAATCATGATTTTTGCGACGACCGAGAACCCGTCGTTCAGATTAACGACGCCTCTCCAGTCGCGCTGCAGATTACTAAAACTAAACCGACACGACCCAGAAGATCTGAAACGGATCCTAGAACGAGCATTAGAGATTGAAAAGAAATCATCACTTGATGATGTTGCGAATAAAGTTGATTCACAGATGATTGATCTCTTGGCTAATGTGGCTGATGGGGACGCTAGAGTCGCGTTGTCTAACCTCGAACTTATCCTGCTTGCGCTTAAACAAAAACCTGATTTGGGTCATCAGGAACTTAAAGAAATCATCGGGAATAAATTCCTCCTTTATGATCGGTTCGTCCAGGTTCCTTTTGATCTGATTGTGTTGATCATTTTTCCTTCCCCCCTTCCCCTTTCCAACACTCTTTCGTTCCCACCAACTAACATCATCATCTTTTTCACTGTACTTTTTTTTCATCTATAATATTTACCTTTTGACATGCTCATAGGAATGGTGACAATCATTACGAATTGATTTCTGCTCTTCATAAAAGCGTCCGAGGAGGGGACGCTGATGCGGCACTTTATTGGCTAGCAAGAATGTTAGGCAAGTTGTTTTGCTTGGTGTTTTCAAATGATCAGTTTTGATGACACATCCATCTTGACTTGATAAATCAACATCTATTTTTACTATGTATCCTTATCAATCAAACAGAAGGCGGAGAAGATCCTCTTTATGTGGGTGTGTTGGCACTGTACTTCAAAACAAAAAAAATTTAGTAGATCAAGAGAA